AAAGTGATAAAAAGATTGGAAGAGCTTTATTTAGAACAGCGACATTTTGCTGGAAGACTAGGAGTTTCATCTACCTGCAGCCTGAGGCATTATGCCAGAAGACATAATAGAAGGACTATTTATTATTATTATTATTATTATTGTTATTATAAAGCTGTCATAAATGGCACCATGTTAAGGCATTAGCATATTCTGGAAAATTAATGGGAAGGCTAAGCGAGCATTTGGACTTTCTGCTAAATTGCAAGTCTCCCTAATCTCAAAGCAGAGGGCTTTGATTTCCAAGCAGGCTGCAAATGATATCATTACAATCAGCACCAATTGTTTCTGGCTTATTCTGCAATTGTTCAATGACAGCTGGTTGTTCCCATTCCTCTACAAATAAGCATCAAAGTCATTTTAAAGACGATTCAGCAGTTTGTCAGCAAAGTGAACATGTCAGGCTTGAATGTCTGTGTGAACTCAGGGGAAATTAAACAGAATAACAGAGCTCGAAGGGACCTTGTAGGTCATTTAGTCCAACCCCCTGCTCAAGTAGGAGACCCTTTACCATTTCTGACAGGTGGCTGTCCAGTCTCTTTTTGAAAGCCTCCAGTGATAGAGCATCCACAACTTCCTCCTTAAGGCATCAGGTCTGAGACTCTATCTTGGAAGAGAATTGATAGTGCTTAAAAAGTACTTTTTCAATCCAGAACCTGGGCCCTGAAATCTTGGTAGCTAATGGCTGAGCTCTTGCTACATTAGGGGTGTCAAACTCACAGCCCTCAGGCTGGATGTGTCACATGCTGGCCCCGCCCCTGCCCGATTTAGCAAAGCATAATATACAAAAGGATGAAGGCTATTGCTTAACGCATTGTAAGCCGCCCTGAGTCTCCGGAGAAGGGCGGCATATAAATTAAAGCAAAAAAAAAAAAAAGGGGGAAACAATTCTCATACGTCATGTGTCGCCACCGTGACGGCATGAGTTTATATATATAATCCAGTAAATATCAGGCCTGGAAGCCATCTTTTGTATTGGGCCTTCAGACCTGCCAGATTTACTACTGTGGGAAATTGGGAGGCGGCATTGTGAAGAGCATGGGGATATATTAAATAAATAAATAAAATATAGCCATAACAACATTTTTTTCTCAGAGGTTCAAGGACATCTTGCCCTGCACCTGGGAGGCTGGATTTGGGAGGCATATCCAGTTGGGACGGTGCCTTGATTGGACCATGTGATGGACTTGTGGGTGTTGGGCAGGTACTTGAACTTTCCTTTGGGTGGGGAAACCCTGGAAGCTTTCAGATTTGGGTTCCCCCAGATATGACATCTCTAATAAAATGTAACTTTGAGGAAACTCAAGCCTCAGAGTTTTCTTTTGTTGGGGGTGTTACTTGGAACCCTGACATTAACCTGAATCTGACACTAAATAGATTTTATAACAAGAGAGAAGAACAAAGACAAAAATTAAATGCATAAAATGTATTAAAAACAGATAATGTAATTTCTACCCATTCATACAACAATTTTCCCTATGGGGAAGTGTTTGGAGGATATGATGAATCATTGTGGTACACCAAGATGAGTAGGGTCACTAACACTTTTACTTCTGGGTGTTTTGTACAATTATGTAAAACCTGAAATGCTCTTCCATTTATCAAGGAATTCTGGGCAAAGAACCTGGCAAGGGGAGTTCAAATCATGCAGCAAATATGACTAAATACAAAGCAGAACATACAACTTTATTTACATCAGTGGTGGGTTTCTACTGGTTCGGACCGGTTCGGGTGACTTTCAGACGTGAGCGAACTGGTTCTCTCATTATTTGAAGTGGGCCCGCCCGCCCACCCCTGCGTTATACTCACCTATATTTCTGCTTCCAAAGCCCAGCTGATTGAGGCGGCAGAGTGGATTGCCACTCCTCAACTGTTTTCCTTGCTCTCAGAAATGCAGAAGTTCAATTTTCTGCAAACTGCACACGTGCGCGCAGCTCAGCAAACCGGTTGTTAATCCAGTAGGATCCCACCCCTGATTTACATGGTGATGACAACAAGGGCTTACTTTTCTGATGTTACTGAACCCAAGTGCACTATCACGCAAGGCTTTCTTGGGAGTTGTATAATACAATTATAAGATACTTTGAGAATGAAGTTGCTCACATCCATTCCAAGTTAGTCATCACAATTACTGGAAAATCTATTCAATTTAGGGGATTCTAATAGGATCATTTTAAGAGTTGCCACCCAAGGAAGTAGACATGTTGCATGTGGGGATTAAATGAATTATCTCTTTTCTAGACCTTTACCCACGCTTGTTGTTAAGCAACTAGTGCATAATTGGATATGTTTTGGAAGACCGCCATACCTACTTAGGTGACGGAATTATGCCAATCAGTTTGAAAGTGATGATGATATGACCTCTCTTGAAAAAAAGAAACAAATACCTTAGCTTAGAAGATGTTGGGCTTTTGGGCAACCAATTACAGGTTGAAAATATTTCTATGGAAAAGAGAAAGTATAGTTGCCAGAAGCCGGTCATCTTTAGGCTGGATATAACACTAAAGTCCTGGATATTGTTGCAAATATAATAGCCTTGTTTGCCTGAATTAATTATCTTTACTGGAGAGAAATGTGGTGAATGCCTTTTCTGGAAGCAAATTCCAGTCAACTTACATCCCTTTTACTTACCTTCAGAAAGGAGCTAATATATTACTGCAACAAGTGGCTTGGGTACAACTCTGAGGATGTATAAATAGGATTGGTACCCCAGATGTTCATGCTTGTATACCATTGATCATCATGCAATATTATACAGAGTGTCTGGATTAATAACAATTCCTATTAATTGTTGGCTGTTAAAACAAAAACAGAGATTTCTCTATGGTATCACTTGCAGTTAGTTTCATATATCTTTGTATCGCAGAATTCTGTACTGTATGTTATTAGAAGCAAAAGAACCCTGCTGAATCAGAGCAACTGCCAATCAAATCCAGAGTCTTGGTTCCCATTTCAGTAGATGGATGCTTTCAAGATTTTCTCAAGTCAGGTGTAACAGAAATATTTCTATCCAGTTGTTGCCCATATCAAGAATGATATTGATGATAAAGTTACAATTCTGAACATACTTTCTAAAGGAAAAAAAGCATAAAATACCTTGAGACTTATTTCAGAATAAATTTAAATAGAATCATTTATACTAATCCATGACTGTTAGCTGGCAAATTGTTTACTAGAAGAGACGCAAATTGTAACATATGGTTTTGATTTATTTTGAAAGAGTAGTCAAATGATAAAGATGTATATGATGGATATTTATTTTTTTCATATTAACTTTTTTCAAAGAACCGTTTTCCATTAAGTTATTCATATATACACTAACACTGTTTTGTAAATATTTGTATATGTCCTTATCTGGGCTTCCTTCTAAGCCACAGGTCTTCTATCTGTGGCTTTCATTGGGAGCCAGTTTTGCTGGTGGTTGTCTGGGTCAGGTGCTTCTGTTCATTGTTTCTCTTTAGGTCCTGCATCTTTTGATGACAAAGTCATCCAAAATTTTTCTCTGTTTTATATTATATGCTGACATTTCATGAAAAGTCAGATTGTATGACCTGGAATTCACCATTATTGGATAGGATATATGGTTTATGGGAGTGCGATGGCTCAGTGGTTAAAGACGCGGAGCCTGTCTATTGAAAAGCTGGCAGCCCAGGTTCGAGACCTGAGCACTGCATGATGGGGTGAGTTCCTGTTATTGTCCCAGCTCCTGCCAACTCAGCAGTTCAAAAGCCTGCAAATGCAAGTAGATAAATAGATATCACTTCAGTGGGAAGGTAACTGCCCCCTAGAGTCGGGCATGACTGCAAACCTTTAACTTTTTATATGTTTTACAATTTGAAAAATATGATCTTTAAAAAATTGGGAATATATATATGAAATATATATTTATATATATCACATGTTAGGCTTTTCTCCCCCTTGAAAATGTGTTGAATTTCTGAAAACCTTGGATTTTCCTAAAGCATGATGATACTTCTGAGGGTCTCTGTTTTGGCTTAAATTCCATTGGCATCCAACCATTTGAATCTGCTTTTACAAAGAGTAATGTTTCAAAAATGTATTCTACCCTTAGGAGAAATTGGCCTCAGATTAGCCGTTCGAATTAATTTCAAGTCACTGCTGACCACTGCTTCAACTGCACAACTAACTTTTTCTAAATTCCAATCCACAGTGAGTATAAATTGAAACTTAGTGGAAGATGAAATTGTGCTGACATAATAACGGTTCTATGCCATCAGTTATGGCTTGCAGAAATGGTAAAATTGAGCAGATTAAGGTGGTTTTCATTGGAACAATAGTGCTTAAGAAGAATTCTGTGCTATTTTAGAGCTTATATGAGCTTCAGTGGCGCAGTGGTTAGAGTGCAGTACTGCAGGCTACTTCTACTGACTGCCGGCTGCCTTCAATATGGTAGTTCAAATCTCACCAGGCTCAAGGTTGACTCAGCCTTCCATCCTTCCGAGGTCGGTAAAATGAGGACCCAAATTGTTGGGAGCAACAGGCTCTGTAAACCGCTTAGAGAAGGCTGTAAAGCACTGTAAAGCAGTATATAAGTCTAAGTGCTATTGCTATTTCTATTCCCGTCATAAAAACCATACATTATTATGTTTATCTGCAGCTTTTGATTAGAAAGGATAGGAAGCATCATACTCAACAAGAACAGGTTTGATGTCTTCCAGATGCTGCCCTTCTTCTCATCAATAGTCAAAAGCTATGAAGTCTAAATTATGTCACTTTCCCCCCTACCCTGTGCTTTTCCAATTTCCTGATGGAAGGATTTTAAGAATTGTTGCCCAGCAGATCTGGAGAACACCAGATTAGGGAAGGCTGGTTTGCAATAAAATTGTAGTTTTGGCTCAGGCTGATGGAAAGCCAGAAATACCCCAAGTATGTTTCAAAGCAGCCAGGTTATGAGTAAAGAGATCAAGAGTTCTATGGAACAGAAGATGCTGAGACAGAGATATTTATTAACCATTATTATTTATTCAACCTCACAGAGGTGTAAACTATACATACAAATACATTAGAAAGGTACCCTCTGACAGCAATGTTTCACATTTTGACTTTGTTCCAAGAGGGTTGCAAATATTTCCATACATTCTACAAACCAAAGATTGCTTTTGCTTTCATTCAATACAGTGTGACCGAGTCCATTTTTCTAAAACAAGAAACTGCAGTCAATTAAAATGTAGAGATACAATGCAAAAAAAAAAAAAAGTGGAAATCAGACAGCTAGCTTTTGAGAATGTTTGGATAAACACTAAAAAGCATTTAAGAAGCATGAGCATGCTATTTGTTTATGGAACAATGTTTACCGGGGCTAAACATTTTGGACAGAGTTGGCACATGGGCTAAATGATTCTGTGAGTGGCCTATGAAATGGTGAGATTTTTTTCCCCTTCTTCTTTGTACAAAGCAATAAAACTTTGGTCGTTGGGATTTCCTATGTGTCTGTGTGCAACTAATGAGTGCTAAATAGAGAGAATAACTGATGAGTAGTATTTGATAAGAGTCATGGAATAGGAAATTCTGCAACATACTAATGTTACATACATAGTATGAAATATTATTTACTTGTCATGAAGTCATGACAGTTTGTATTCTGATGGAACACAAGGGAGAAAATGGTAAGCTAGAAATCCAAACATGGAAAGCCTTTTGCACAAACATTTATGCTCATGCATTTTTGCATTCACATAGGAAGATCACTTGCACGATCTGAAGTGATTCGATGAATATGGATTTAGGAAAAAAAACTAAGAACTTTTTTACTGTTAAAAGAATAACAGAATAACAGAGTTGGAAAGGACCTTGGAGGTCTTCTAGTCCAACCCCTTGCTCAGGCAGGAGACCTACACCATTCTGGATAAATGGCTGTCCAATCTCATCTTGAAAACCTCCAGTGATGGAGCACCTACAACTTCTGAAGACAAGTCGTTCCACTGCTTTATTGTTCTCACTGTCAGGAAATTTCTCCTTAGTTCTAGGTTGCTTCTCTCCTTGACCACAAGGGAAATATATGATCACAAGGGAAATACATCAACATTAATCTCAACATTTAGCACCTTGGCAGTTAAAAAAAAATAAGAATATTCATAAATCGGAGAGCTACTTATGATATGCTATATTTGTAAGAGGTCACCCATGTAGGTGTCAGCCAGTGGTGGGTTTCAAAGTTTTTTACTACCAGTTTTGTGGGTGTGGCTTGGTGGGCGTGGCATGGCTTGGTGGGCATGGCAGGGGAAGGATACTGTAAAATCTCCATTCCCACCCCACTCCAGGGGAAGGATACTGTAAAATCTCCATTACGTCCCCAATCCAGGGGAAGGTTACTGCAAAATCCCCATTTCTTCCCGATCAGCTGGGACTTGGGAGGCAGAGAATAGATGGTGGGTGGGGCCGGTCAGAATTTTTACTACCGGTTCTCCGAACTACTCAAAATTTCCGCTACCGGTTCTCCAGAACTGGTCAGAACCTGCTGAAACCCATCTCTGGTGTCAGCCCATCCTCAGTCATGTTAGCTTGCAGAGAAGATTATGCAGGACTTTTGCAAGTGGTTAGAGGCAAGTGACATTGCAAATGTGCATCAAGTTTTGTTACTGAAACCTCTTGGGATGCATTAAAAATGCCTCACTTCAAACTTTCTCCGAAGTATGTAAAACATACCCCATAACATTCTGATTTTTAATTTTTTAAATAAAAGAAATACACATCTTGCACTGAAGAATCTTTCTTTTAGGTAGCAACACTAATTCCTGGAAAAAAAAATGCAGTAAGACACCAGCTGGTAGTTTTGATATTCTTCTTGGGATGCAATTGAATTGGTGAGAAATGTGTCAAGAGTCACTCTGTCATACCTCAAAGTAAAAGTTGTTCTCATTTACTCTCTATTGTCAGGAAACTTGCCCATGGGTTAGTTTGATGCAGGCAAGTTCCTTGCTTAAGACTCTGGTCCTCAATGTGGCTTGTGTCGGTGGAGCGCTTTGGGGTTTGGGCTGCAAGGGGAAATAAACCTAAATTACAACATAGTTTGGAAACAGGTGTTTAAGTTAATGGAATGATTACAAGAAAAAAAAGCAACAGTATTTAAGACCAGGCACACAAAACTAGTGACATGAATGGAACTTTTCTCCCCAACATCAGGGCAAGCAAGGAAATCTTCCAATTGGTATAATAAGTAAGTGCTATTGCTATGCTTGCAGAGCAAAACCTTGTAAACAAATAGCAATGACATGTTGCTTTTTTTCCTTCTCAAGTTTTAAACAAAAAATAATTAACCAACCAATGTCTAGATTGCAATCCACAAACCATTTTTCCTGATGGAATTTTCTGGGTTCAGATGAAACTTTCCTACATCTTAAATACTATGCAACCTCCTCTCTCCCCTGCCCCCACCCCACCCACTAGAGAAGCTCCCACAATTTGCAGGGTAATCGACACACATAGAAAAGAGATTAAGATACTGAAGTTGCCAAATTGTTGTTTAGTGCTGATATGGATCAGCTTTGTCTCTAAATAAATTTATTTATTGGACTTAAGTAAGAGATTCAGCCTCTTTTGGATAATATTTCACTAGCTTGTTTTAGTAAATGAAATTTTATCCAAAAAAGACTAAAGTAGATAATTTCATCAGTTCATTTAAGAAGGCATCCACCCTTCTTTCATATATTTCAGTTATTTCCTCAGTGTTTTTATTTTATTTTATTTTATTTTATTTTATTTTATTTTATTTTTTATTTTATTTTATTTTATTTTATTTTATTTTATTTTATTTTATTTTATTTTATTTTTTTTATTTTATTTTATTTTATTTTATTTTATTTTATTTTATTTTATTTTATTTTATTTTTATTTTATTTTATTTTATTTTATTTTATTTTATTTTATTTTATTTTGGTTTCTTGGTGCAACATTTAGAGGTCCTATAATAGATAAACACTCATATGTAAGTCTATTTAGAAAGTTCATCGATACTGATGTTTAGTTGGGCAGTATCAACACTCCGCTATGTAGTACACAGAAAATAAGTGGCAAATATAGTCGAGTAACAACCGTTGTGAAAAAAATATTCTACATTGTTCATATTGGAATCTAGCTCAAGTTAATGACACCATTGCAGGAAAATAGTGAATATGATATTGGTGCCGTAAGGTAAATAAATAGGGGATTGGATATACTCTAGAGTGGTAGTCGCAATTAAATATTTCTGCATTCAGTGGGATTTGTAAAGTTAGTCACCACAAACATTTATTTATAGATCTTTTTGCCTCTCTTTTCTATTTAAACAAGGATTCATGGTAGTTTATTGTACTGATCTTTAAGCATGAGCAAATTGCACTTGATCTACCCCCCAAGTAGTAATTTTGCTGGAAAAATACATATGCAAAAGGGTTGCTATAGCCATGTAGATCAAGATAGCCACCGATACGGCTTCTAAGGGCTTCACCAATATATGGATTTAGTATTACCGATTGATATGAGGCCTCATTACCATAGAGAAGCTTAAGACAAATCGTCCTCTTCATTTCTAACAAGATATCACTGTAGTCAGGCACTTTTCCTAAATTTTGCATGACTGCATAGTTGTTTTCTATTTAAGCACTGAAATTATAGTTCCATTCCTTGTTATGTCATTCTCTACATCAATTGTAAGGATAAAACATTATCCTGGCTAATGATCAGCAAGGATAGGTGCTACAATCAAAATAGTGATTTGAATGCTAAGGATTTTCTACTCTTCATATTACAGCTCAAGGGTTATGTATGTTAACTATGGCAGTCCCAAAGGTGCTTTTTCAAGAGGCAACTAGACTTCCGGGTTTTTCTTTGAAAACGTTTTGCTTCTCATCCAAGAAGCTTCTTCTTCTTCTGGAAGAGCTGAAGAAGCTTCCTGGATGAGAAGCAAAATATCTTCAAAGAAAAACCATAAAGTCCAGCTGCCTCTTGAAAAAGCACCTTTGGGACACCTGGATGACTGAGAATCTCCATAGACACTTAACTATGACAAATTTTATAATACATGTTGAAGGTGTCCTTTGTGGCAAGCTAGAGAACCAATAAAAGAAACAATGATCAACACTTTTTTTGAAAAAACAAAAGTAATTTAAAATGATAGGGAATTCAATATGCAAACATACAAATGGGCAGAGAAGGAACTGTAATGATTGTAAATGCTAGCACTGGTAGTAAAATATTTTTTGGTGCTGTAGTAACCTGAAGCAATTGCTAAACAGTGCATTTGTTAAGTGAGCTCTGCCAGTATATATTTTGCTGTCTTGTCCTCTTGCATCTTGTAACATTTAACCTGTACTATAACCACATGATCGCTGCTTCTCTCCTATAAGTGCATGAATTCTGCATTTTCAACAAACGTAGTGCTCAGAGAACCCTGGTTCATCCTCCAACAAACTTTTTATATGTAAGAAGTAATTCTGTAAAAAATGAATTGTCAGCTAAACTTAATTACAACTAAATTGAAATCCACATTCAGTAAGAGATAGCTAGTTATTCTTAGCTGCAATTTACTTGATTAGAAGCGAGTGAGGATAGAGGATCTATCCATATCTACCCTTAGACCTTCCAGCCACATGAAAACATTGTCCACTGTTGTTTTATAGAGTAGCATCTCTCTATTGTATTATTTGTGGCCAAGTTTCAGATAATCTTGTAATTTCCTTCAGTAAAAAATCAAGTTAAAAATGACCATAAGGTGCTGTATTTGGACAAAGGTAAAGCTTGAAGTGTGATGATGAGCAAAAATGTGATAAAATAAAAATGAACATGGTCTGAAGACAGAGTTGCTTCTCTTTCAAGAGCAAAATGTGAAGTGTATGATTTACTGAACATGATTTAACTGAAGTAAGTTACTTCTGCAAAAAAATACACAAAGGGAGATTCGTGACTTAATAAATAACTAAAACATTTTGTCAATTTTTTTAAAAAAAATCTGATCCCCCTTTTAAAAATAATAATAAAAATAAAAATAATCCCTAAACCCACATTAGAGTGCCTATTTGCAACCAAAACAATAGAATGTCTGTTTAAATGATCTTTAAAATATATATGGCATAGTTTTGCGTAGAAGTAGGCTATTTTTAAAAGAGGAGTCAGTTTGTTGGTTCATTTATTTGTTTGTTTAATCAATTATTCAATTTATTTCCAGATGAAGAGAGCAGTCCTATATAAATATATAGTCACATTTCATATAAAAGGTCTTGGTCCCAAATCAGTGGGATGGGACTTCTGCTTTAAAAGTAGTTTTAAAAATGAATTAAATGCTTATATTTTATACAAAAACATTTTCTTGCTTAGATTCAAATCATCTCTAATTGGGTTAACTTTCATTAAAAAAAAAAGAACAACCCTGGAAATTAAAATATTATTTTTTTTCACGAGATAAAGTTTATGGAAATTACCATTTTAAATCATATACATGGATCAAGATACAGGCATGTGCACTCACACAAACACACAAGCATACATAACTTAGGCTCCATAAAGTATTAGCCATACATTTTCAACTCTTTCTCATAGAGCTGCCCCTTTCTTTTCTTATGTGTCCCAGCTTGAAATGGATTTCCATATAATCTTTTCCAGGACAGAACATTTGAACTGAGAGATGTATAGATGTGCTGCGAACCAAAAACATTTCATTGTGAAATCATCTTGATAATTGATAGGCCTACGTAAATGTGAACAGAATAAGAGTTGGAAAGGACCTTGAGGTCTTCTAGTCCAACTCCCAGCTCAAGGACTATAAATAGTAGATTCAAGTCCTTCTGCTATCTCCCAGAGAAGGAATTCCATACTTGAAGCTCTACTCACACTTTATGTGCTGGATTGGGACCTAAAGCAGTATATTTTGCAGATATACCAGATAAGTCAGATCTATACCATGTCCATTGCAACAAATGGAAGTTAAGTAGTTGCTTACTATCATCCTTTACCTCCTAAGAGTCAGTATATGTAGTGGTAGTATTCATTCCAAATTTAATTTTCTTGTTTTAAATTAGGCTAGCCTCTCAGTTCATAAAATCTTTCCTTTTTATAATCATAAAAAGTTGAAAAGTTATGGCTAAACACATTTCAATTTTACGTACAATCTCTATATGTGCAATTGGCTTATCTTAAAAAAAAACATATTTATGTTTTGTTCTATGTCTTTGTTATTCAAGTACTTTCTCAAGCAGAACAATAGCACCACTTTGCATTGTTAACCAAAACCAGTAACAGGTAAAGCAAATTTTGCCACATATTTCGCTTTCCCACTCCATGCATTTAGGCATCAACTTCATGACCACTTTCTAGGGCTGCATCCTGAACTGAGGACACTGTAGACCAGGGGTCTCCAACCTTGCGCACTTTAAACCTGGCGGACTTCAACTCCCAGAATTCCCCAGCCAGCAAAGCAAAGCTGGCTGGGGAATTCTGGGAGTTGAAGTCCACCAGCCTTAAAGTACCAAGGTTGGAGACCCCTGCTGTAGACCACAGGCTCTCCAAGGTTTTTTTTTCGGTTCTAAGGTTTTAAAATATCATTGGTTGAAATTAAATTAAATTCAGTGGCTAATATTTGATTCTGGCTTGCCCTAAACTAAAATTCCTGAGCATATTGCCATATAAAAAAGGTAGTACTGCATTAGGTTGAATGCTGCTATTTTAGGGAGAATGCTGGAGGGCACTTGCTGTTTTCATATGACAAAGGAAGTCAAGCAACAGTATCCCACAGTCTTCTTTTTCTATCACAACCATGCTAGTTTGAAGAGTCACGGAAACTCACTTGGCTTTTCCTCCTTATTGCTAAAAAGGACCCATCTTTTCAAAGGTGCTTTTAAAGATAACATCTTAGCTTTTTCACAGTGAATCGTATATATCCTTTCTATTGGATATTAGTACAGGTAGTCCTTGACTATCAACCGCTTAACTACTGTTAAGTGAGACAGTTGTTAAGTGAGGTTTGCCCAGGGGTGGGCTTCAAAAATTTTAGCAAGGGGTTCTTTGCCTGGTTGCTGGGCGGGCGTTGCCTAGTCGGCCTTCTGCACCATGGCGGGGGGGGGCGTTTTTGCCCTCCCTGGGCTCTGGAGGCTTTCCTTGAGCCTCCAGGAGGGCGAAAACAGCCTCCTCAGGCTCCGGAGGCCCCCTGGAGGCCGAAAATGGGCCCATTTCTGGCCTTCCCAAACTTCCGGTAGGCCCGTTTTTCATCCTCCCCGAGCCTTACCTGCGTCCAAAATAGGCCACATGGGGACTTCTGGGAGGGGTGGGATGGGCGGGGCCAGCCAGAAGTGCGATTTGGGGGTTCCCTGAACTGCACAGAATCTTAGCTAGAGGTTCTCCCAAACCCCTGCGAACCCTCAGCAACCCACCCCTGGGTTTGCCCCATTTTATGACTTTTCTTGCCAAAATTGTTAAGTGAATCTGGCATTGCATTTCCTTATCAGAAGGTTGCAAAAGGTGATCACATGACTCCGGGACACTGCAACTGTCATGAATAGTCGTCAAGTGTCTGGATATTGATCATATGACCACAGGGGTGCTGCAACCGTCATAAGGGTGAAACAAGGTCATAAGTCACTTTTTTCAGTGCCGTTATAACTTTGAACAGTCACTAAATAAACTGTTGTAAGCCGAGTACCTGTATTACTCTTTGATATTAATGTTTTAATTAATTAGAAACCTTAAATCAGTCGTGCATCTTTTAACAAAACCCTTCTATCTAATCTTTGCCATTGTTTCCAATTCATTGCAAATATGCTACTTTGCTTGTACCTCTTACTGTTTTGGTAAGACCTTTCATAAAACAAGCTACAGAATAGCACCATTGTACTATTAAAGAGATTTTTACATACTGTTGGTTATATGTGTATGATTAATATGCTAAATTTCTACATATTGCCTTATATTGAAGAAAAAGACATTTATTTATATTGTTGTGAATAAGTTATCTGAAAGAGTCACTGAGAATTTAAGAGAGCTCGTATGTGCTCTCAGCTTACCTCGACAAAAATTATTATATTCTTCAAATTGCATATATTTCTATTTTCATCTGTTATAGGCAGGGGAATGACCATCTTAAAACCTAGACCCAGAAGCTTGCTTTAGATATGGGAGTTTGCACAGGGAGTTCCAGTATATGCAAGCTGTTCCATTAATTTTAGTGGCCAAAGATAGCTTTGCATAAGGATGCAATATGAATAGTAACATCCTCAATGGAATAAAACCATGTTTTGCACATATGTAAGAACTCTCTGTGGATCTTGGAACATATAAGGATCTCTGAGTGCGATGAACACACGAGACTTGTGTGCTGTTAAAAAGCCACTACAGTAGTGAAATGAACGTGTTAACTTTACTGCTGTTGCTACTGGGAATTCCAAACTGTGCAAATATGGAAGGGAAATCAAACAGTGTTATCAGACACTGCAAGACAAACAATCTATTGCTTATCTAGAAGTACAAATATTTAAAAAAAAGTTAAAAAAAAACCCCTCCACTTAGATAAGGCTGGTGGGTAACTCCAACAGCAGGGTTCATAAATTAATTTAGTGCAATTGAGTCCACTAAAGGCTTTTACATTTGCTGCTCCCTTTGAGGGCAGAAGACTTTTAAGAGGCATGGGACTGGGTCTATGTGACGCATGTACAGTTTTTGTACACACTTGCGTGTAGCACATTTTATTGCAGGAAGTGAACAATTACAGTAGCAATCTACCAGTCTCAGAAACATTTGAGCACTGAGTTGGCTTTTTGTTGGAATGTTAATTGTTCCTTAGGGAGAATGCCCATTAGTGGAGAATTCATCAAACTTATTGAACTCTAGCTTTGTCCAATGTCTGACTATTTACAGCAAAGTATCCTGCAGGTGGCACATTCATTCTTCACTCTTACGGACGGAATTTTCTTACATTCTGTAGTTCTTGTTTCCTGTGTTCCCTCTACTTGTATTCTTCAAGTGCACTTCCTGAAAATAAAAGACATATTATTGTGGATGTGAGCACAGTTGACAATCCTTGTGACTACTGAATGCGGCAGTAGTTCTGTTCTTATTTTTTGAATGGGGAGATGAGAAGCTAGTTTATATCAAGCAGGCATATGTGGCCCAATCAAAATCCAGTCCATATTTAAATACTTAAAATTCTCTTCCATCATTTTTCTGCAAGTTAATAAAACACAGTTTCAGAACAAACCATTCTGTTTGCTTTCATAGTTACTGGTATTTTCCCTAGAATATACATTCTATATACTTTTCTAGATACAGTCCTTATTGACTAAAATACACCTTTTGGTGTATAACATTTCGTAATATACAGCTTTTTGTCTGTAGTTGCAAAAATATACTCATTTGCGTTAAAATTCATCACTATCATTGATGCTATGACAAATTTTGCATGGGTTGAGTATGGCATTTCATGCTAAACAGAAAACCCTAATTGTGAAACTGTAAGTTTATCTATTGTATAAATTTTGGTTTTTCAATTATGGTGTCTTGGATCTATGGAAGATGTAATGCAATACATCTGCATTGCTTCAAGTTTGGGAAGAGTGCTCTACAACATTTTGTTTTTATAACATTTTTCTTTTAATGTCAATTTTTATATCTGGGTTCCCCCCCCCCATTTTTCATTTTAATGTTGTTCGCTACCCAGAGTTACTTTTGTGAGATGAACAGCTGTATAAATTTGATTATAAATAAATAAATTAATAAATACTAACTGGAAGCCACTTCCTTGGCAGAGTTTGACTATATAGGTCTTTTCCCATTATTTGGCTGTATGGCTAAACTCTGTTAACTCCCAATTTTTCCAAGGTTTACTGTATTTGGAAATACATCAGGATTTAAATCAGAATTTGCAAGGGACAGTTCCACCATGCCAATTTTGATCCTATTCAGATTGCAATCTAAGACTATACTGAAGGCCATAGAACAGAAATGGGGACCTGGGAGCTACCAGATATTGCCAACAATGTGAAAGAGAGTTTCCTACTCCTATCCTAAGGAACGAGGCCAGGAAGTGGGGGCTGTGGTGGCTCACATGGTTAGGATGCTGAGTCAGAAGACCATTGAGAGGTCAACAGCTTGGCAGTTCAAAACCCAAGAGTGTGAGTCACAAGGCAGAATAAGTCCCCATCAATTTGTCCCAGCTCTGCCTACGTAGCAGTTCAAAAGCATGCAAATGCAAGTAGACAAATAGGTATCACTTCAGTGGGAAAATAACAGGTACATTAAAGGAGCCCCCCTTAGGCATCCCGTAGGCAATGGTGATGTCATTGGCTAATCCTTTCAACCTGGAAGTGCCTTGGTAGGTGCTTCCCACATGAATGTAGTATATGTAGGAGAGAACCAGGCTGAGCCTGAGGGAGTGGTCAAACATGTTGTTAGTCATAAGTCTCTGTGCTCTCACAAGAGATCTAAATCATGTTCACCTTGAATTTCCTGCTGTTCTTACTTGATCGTGAGCAGTTCAGATGGTTGCAGAGAATTTAAGCTTATAATAAATCGTTATACACATTTGAACTGCCTGGATCTCCTGATTTCCCTGGTGCTTGACATTAATCTGAAGTAATAGAAAAGAATTCAAGATGGACTGGACTTAGATGTTATGAGCAGGGACTCATGACTGATGACACATTTGATTTCTTCCTCAGGCTCAGCCTGGTCATCTCCGACAATATAATAGGACAGGAGGTAGATAGATTGATAGAGTGGGAGTTGTTAAAGTTGTTAGAGTTTACATTTAAAAGCCACTTACAATATGTGAAAGATTTCAAGCTGCTCTGCTCCAAAATAAAGACTATTTCATATGAATCTCCCATTATAATAAGGAACAATCTTATTTTCTGGCTATGTAGTTGAGGCTTAGTTGAAAATGTGTAGAAAAATGGCTCCTTTGAGACTATGCCAATCTCCTGCTTGTTTAGCTGCAGCTATTTTTGTCTGCAATGGAAAATCTCGTACAACAAACTTTCTGACAAAGTTATAACAAGTTTAATTTGTGAAACGATATGACCAATGTGAGTCCAGTAATAACACTGTATTGAGTTTGAATGCTATTCCTTGGAGGATATAAACTTAACCTTTCAAAGCATTATGTGTTAGCCACTAATAATGTAAAAGTCAGTGAAATATAATAGTTAAGGTACTAGACCACAATTAAAGAGATCCAGGTTGAAGTCCACCTCAACTATAGAAATTCACTGGGCAATGTCCTATCACCCCAACCTATCCCACACTCTTGGGGGGAGGAGAAGAGAAAGAGATATGCTATGCATACCACTATATTCCTGACAGAAAAGTTTAATATAAAATTAGCAAATGTGCTTTATTTTATCCAGTGCTTTGTATCTTTGCCTTGGTTTTCTTCAGTTTTGACACTGAAACATGATTCACCTGGGATTGTCCCTGAAAACATGCAGAAGCTTAAATTGGTGCATAATGTAAGCACCTAGTTTGCAGAAGCTGAAGAAAATACAGACATAATATTAACTATGAACTGAAATATTTTCACTGTTTACATATGCTTACCAGACACACCTTAAGTTGTCGATATTAACTTTTAAAGCACTGCTTAAAATCTAATTGTACAAATTAAATTCTTTCTTTTTAGCACTTTAGGAGAGAATTTTCACCTATAAGTTGCTTTTGACAAGATGGGCGGCATATAAGTTTAATAAATAAATTACTCCCACTTAATGGAATGAAATCCTTTAGACGTTTTACCTGCACTCTTTCAGTGATTAAAAATGTTGTAAAGTGGCAGCTGTTTTGTCACATTTTTAATTTCTAAATAATTTAGCAATAATGTCAATTAATATTTTAACTTTCCCCTTTTTAAAAAAATGTTATTGCCTTTTATTAAATTGGTGAGTCAGTTTGAGTGCTTATTAGAATAGAAAGCAAAGTATAATTAGATTGAAGAAAGAAGCAAAATAAAAAAGTGACTGGTCTAAGTAGCCCTGTTTCTGACTAACATGAATACCTGAGATGGTTTAAAATCAGTAGAAGCACCTGGTTTGTTTTTTTGGCATTACTCTAATGAGACTTCTCTATCTGCTAGTGGTATTAACAGAATACAATCCCTTCTGACGTTGGTCTTATTCCATCAGTTGATTTCTATAAGATCTTGCATCCCAACTAATAAGCTGAGCCTTATATATTTATTTATTTTTAAGCAGGTATTAGATAACTGATATATATAACATAATATACATCAGGTTTATATAAGTAAAAATGTGATTATGAACACAGGAAATGTGATTTCAGTGAGACTTAGTCTGAAATGACTACGTTGGAGAGAAGCCTAAGGAAAGAACATAAGAACAGAGAGTCCCGTTGGATCAGCTTATGTCCTTTCTAGTCCAGCATTCAGTGTCACACAATGGTCAACCACAGGCATTCATAAACATGGAGAGAAGGGTGATGGCAATACAAAAATTTATTTATTTATTTATTTTGTCACATTTCTATGCCACCCAACTCCCAAGGGACTCTGGACAAAAATGGACAACAAAGTTCATGAAAGTTAGTTGGGACTAGAGCAGGGGTGAAATTCAGCTGGTTCTATCCGGCTCGGGTGAAGTGGTAGCGGTGGCTGCGGGAGGCTCCACCCACCTGCGCGGACATCATGATGTTGCTTTTTGCGACGATTTTAAGCCTCTGTGCCATGCGCAGAAGGCTTTGTGCATGCACAGACAATGGTGTGAGTGAGTGAAGCAAGCGTGCGCACAGCGTGCACACATTTGCAAACCGGTAGGGAAGGTAAGTGAATTTCACCCCTGGACTAGAGACTTTTAGTAAACTATCCTTTGCAAAGTTCAAGGATGAGTACAAGCCATTAAGTAGCTAAAGCAGCATCATTTGTACACAAAAGATGATATCAACACACACATATAAACAATCCTTAGAGAGTAAATCATAAGCAAGGGACAACAATTTCTAAAGTACCCAATGATTTACTTCTCAGCAAGAGTGTCAAATCTTTTGGGATAGAAGAAAGAAAGCTAGATAGGAATGAGGAAATAATGTGGCTAATTAGAAAAAAAGTGGGGCGCTGCTACAATAAAGCAGAGTGTTTCAAAATAACACCGATCATTGATCAGGAGCTACTAATAGAGAAAGAAAAAAGAAGGCAAAGACAAAGATGAGATATGGAATATACAGTTATATCTGTGGCTCTATTCCTCTGGTGTCTTCTGTTCCATTTCTATTTAATATTGAAAGACTACAGTAGTTTGGAAATGAAAGCTGCCCATAGATATCAGATTTGGATTTCTGATTCTGGGCAACCATATGTCCATCCAATGCTTGAAGCAATGCTGGAAATCCGCATATTAACAAATAATCAGATTAAATTTGATCACACTTTAGCTACCTTTTGTGCCTTAGGCATATCAGTGTGTCGCTGAGCACGTAGAGATCGTGCAGATTTAGGTGGCTTGACAGGAGCACAGTACATCTCCAGCCGTATCAGGTCACAGCTCTGGAAACAGCATTCATCCACTATTCCCCGAGTAGAAGAGGAACGTCTATTGCCTCCATAACCTGCTGGTTTACCTAAAGGGAACAAAAAACAGTCATTGTAAAAGAACATAACAAAATCTTTAATATTCTTCTAATATTACAATATGATTAAGTCAGGAGTGGGTTCTACTTACCTTTACTACTAATTCGCAATGGGGCCGCGTGCAGAAGCTTCCTGATGATGTTGGGGTTGGTGGGTGCAGCCTCCCGCCGGTTTTACTACCGGTTCTGTAGAACCAGTCCGAACTGGGGGCAACCCACCATTGGATTAGGTGCAATCACAGAATAAGACACACAGAAATAATTGTACTGTATCCTTTATTGAATCAATATGCTAGCAATATCTTACAGAACTACAGGAGTAGCCAGGTCTCCTAATTTATTAACGTATTTATCTTTCATTCACTCTGGCCAGCAAAACCCACAGCAATTAATATCCAAAGCAACATCACTAAACTAACAGCTATCCCAAAGCATCATAACCCATTATAACACCCATAAATTACAGTAAAAACACAAGAAGTAAAACCCAAGTATTTATAGCTTCAGTAATAAAGTATCCAAATGACAGTCTAAAAAAAATAGATTCTGAGTACAAAGAATAAGTATTTAATGTTGTCTTCAAGCAAACAGGAGAGGGACCCATCCTAATTATAACAGGGAGAGAATTTTACCAAAAAAAATGGTATACTTTTCTTCTGGTTGATTCTTAACAAACCTGCCTGCCTTGGCCACCACCCATAAAAAGAGGACAATCAGATAATCAATAATTCACCACATATGGGGAAGTTATTTCTTCAAATAGCTGGGTCCCAAAAGTTTTATATGGATTTATATTTTTACACTAGCATCTTGAATTTAACTCTGAAAACTACAGAGGGTAGTGAGAAGGTATCACATATTGCTAAGAAACATTGAGCAGATGTCCTGCTGCTGCATTTTGAATTCACTATATGTCCAAGATAATTTAACCTAATTTGGAGGTAACCAGCAGATGTTGACTTTATATTAAAAGGAATGATTCTTTGTTGAAGAGTAGTGCAATTCTTACCTGTTTAAAGATTTAAAAAAACATTATAAGAAGAAAAAGCAGGGGCCTTGAAGTATTCAGATTGAAGTAGTTTATACTGTATGAGGAAAAATGTGGCCCTTCAGAATTGTAACCCTAAATTTTGGGAGTAAGTTGGGCTCCTACTGGATCCAAAATTTGTAAGACAACTATTGTACCCGATAGTGGTCCCACTTTTAATATAGTATGTATGAAACTCCTGTTAATCTGTTTTAGTTTAGCTGAACAATTCTTACTTTGGTTTTGATTCTGACACTTTTTCCTAACAGTGTGAAAAAAACTGCCATCAAACCATCTCACTGAAACCAGGGTGGATATAAGACATGTTTCTGCTTAAACGATAAACAACACTTCACAGCAAGTGCACTGCCAGAGTACCCAAGATAAGTGAAATGGTTTTGGCCTCTGAGAATGAAAATCCCTCATATTCCTGCCCTTGGCAGTGAAAATATGATCAAGTAAATGTTATGCTTTCATAAGACTTCAAATGGGCTAGAACAGCAAAGTTTAACAGCTGTACTGTTGCTAATGAAAAGGCTGGACCATGAGGTAACAAACTGGGCTGTAATCATATGCATATGTATGTATGTATGTATGTATGTATGTATGTATATATGTATATGCATATGAATATGAATATATGTGTATATGTATAGCCCTCAACTTATGACCCATTATATGTCATGATGGTTGTAAGTCAAGGCACCGCTGTGACCAACCGAATTTTATGACATTTTTTTTGTGGTTTTTGTTAAATGAATGCGGTGAACGTTAAGTGAATAGCAGTTGATAAGCAAACCCATTTGCAGTGGGCATTTTTTGCTGGGACCAATAGTATATATTGATTTCTGGCAAAAATGTCATAAATTGCTATCACATGACTATGAGATTCTACAAGCGGTCGTAAATATGACTGCCCAAATGCAATCATGTGACCACTGGAAGGGGTGCTGGCAGCCAGAACTTTGAACAGATACCAAGTTGAAGTTTACCTGTACATGCATAACTGTGTACCTACTCAGACCCTCTACATACATACATATATACACATGTACATGTACACACACACACACACTTAGAAATTATGTAAACTGTAAACCCCACTGAATCGGGGAAATTTGTTGCTGTTGCTGGCACTGTGTTAGAGTTTGCACTCTTGTTGATTCATTTGTTCACATAATATGTAAACCAATAATATGTAAAGAGGGAGACGGATGGTTGAGATATGAAATATAAATAAATAAATATTCCAAGAATATCTGTTTAATAGATCATAGCCTTTCTAGTAATAAAATAAACATGACCATTTAGTCAGCGGAGCCTTTCAAACTATTTGCTTGATAAATTCCAATAGATTTGAAAAAAGGTTTTCCCCAGGATAAACGTATAAAAAAGATAATTTGTTTTGAATTTTACAAGTCAGGGAATTCCTCTAGTAGTGTATAACATAACCATAGAGCAAGGCCATGCTCTGCTGTTAGGATATGTGCTTAAAAGGAGCCTTGGTGGCGCAGCAGACTAAACTGCTGCTGTTAAAGTAGCACTTAGCTGCCAGCTGCCTGCAATTACTGCAAGTTCAATTCTCACCAGGCTCAAGGTTGACTCAGCCTTCCATCCTTTCGAGGTAGGTAAAATGAGGACCCGGTTTGTGGGGGCAATAAGCTGACTTTGTATAAAATAGAACACCGCTTAGGGGGGCCCAAAAAGCCCTACTAAGCAGGTATATACAAAAGTATGAAGGCTATTGCTTAATGCATTGTAAGCCGCCCTGAGTCTCCGGAGAAGGGCGGCATATAAATTGAACTAATAAATAAATAAATAAATAAATAAATAAATAAATAAATAAATGATAATAAGAACAAAAATTGGTATCAAATTAGTCACCTTAGCTAAGAGCCAAACAACACAAGACACTTGGAAATCTTTCACTAGATTTGTTTTTAAAGCAATATTGGTGTGGGACTAAATCAAATTGGATGGTCTGTTAGGAGCCACATTTTTACTTCCAAATTTTCCTTGTCTTCTTCTTCCCTCCCCTCTTTCTGGAAGCTGCTTTATGCCTCCAGAGAAAAATATATGTCCATTCAGCATGTTTTTCCACATGAACAAAAAAAGTAGCATGCAAAATTATTTCTAACCAGTAAACTGCAGTAGAATCTTGCTGTGACAAATATTGTGCTGTTTATTGTTCCACTTATTATGCCCTATTCCAGGATACTCTATTCTATGTCCCTTCCCATTCAGTTCAAATCTTTTCTGTTCAACAAATCCCTAAGCATTCTGTGTTCATTGTGTGTATTCAAATGTCATACATTTCATTGATCTTTCATTGGGTTAACAATATTAACCTACTGAATCAAACCTTGCAAATCTAATTCCTATTAAAACAATTCTTCTTTGCAGAATTTTTGCAGTGTGTCCAGGATCAAGATCAATGGCCTTTGTCTGAGTTAATGTTTGTTATTCAAATAATTTATCTTGAAACTGGCTTTGCTGGGAAGGGCCAACTGGCTTAGGACATCACTGTCTCTGTGCCTAGAACCAATCTATGCAATTGAAAATTAAACCTGAGGTAGAAGCATGTTGATTTAATGTTTATATGATTCGTCTGACATCTGGAGAGATCAACATTTTAATATTGAGATCAGGCACATGGAAAAATTGCTTGCAATTGAATGGTTGATCAGTTTTATTGTTCAAGATATTCAAGCAATGGGAGCTCAATATTATCAGGGGTGAAATCCAGCAGGTTCTGACAAGTTCTGGAGAACCGGTAGCGGAAATTTTGAGCAGTTCGGAAAACCGGTAGTGGAAATTTTGAGTAGTTCGGAGAACCGGCAAATACCACCTCTGGCTGGCCCCAGAGTGGGGTGGGAATGGAGATTTTGCAATATCCTTCCCCCAGAAGTTGGGAGGGAATGGGGATTTTGCAGTATCCTTCCCCTGGAGTGGGATGAGAATGGAGATTTTGCAGTATCCATCCCCTGCCACGCCCACCAAGCCACACCACACCCAACAAGCCATGCCCACAGAACCAGTAGTAAAAAAAATTGGATTTTTTTGTGTATAATTGGATATTATATGTGTATAATTAAAGTTTTAGACTGGATTTGGGGAGATTATACAATGGGATAAATATTCTGGTTATAAAATTGTAATACAACTAATATTTTGTGAACAACAATATGGTGTCCATGGAAATACATAAAAGCAAACTTGTTTTTTATTCAGATTTTATTTATTTATTTATTTCTGGAAAAATAACTTTCATGATGAATTTGAACCTTTCTGTTTCTATAACATGACTAATGATGACAATTTTTATACCTATAGGGAAGAAAAATCTTGTAAAAATGAATAAGATTGGAATATATTTTAAGAGAGACATCTATGTTTATTCCACTTAAATATCTTAAAATAATTATTGGTGTTCAGTAGGAAATCTAAATTCTTATTTCTATTCTCATGGGAAACTGATCCTTGAAATTGGCAAATCTGAAGTAATCTGGAGGACCAATGGATGTCTCCATCTATGAAAATTTTGAGGGGTCCTTGGTGCTCTCTGAGCTTGCTTGTTTTCTTGCAGTTTCATTATTCAAACTAGATAACATCAGTACTAAATTTTTCATGGAACATGCATCTGCCCACTCTATCCCCCTGCCAAAAGGTCTTCCTGGGTCATCAGAAGAGCTGATGCTTTGGTCTGCCTCGATCAAGGTGTTGAGGACACTCATGGATGGAGACCAAATGATAAAAACCTTGCAGGCAAATATGTAAAGGTGGAGTAGATTTTGTCATTCTGACGAATTTGTTGCACACCCTTCTGGAAGCTTCTAGGAAGCAGTTGCCATTTTCTTACGATACCAAAACAATGGAAGTTCAAAAGATCCCTGTTGGCATTCACAGTCAACCATAGTATCTGTATGTCTAAGATGACTTTGGCTGACACATGAATCCCTCTGCG